GCTAGCAGATTCCCATTATTTTTGAATAATATATTTATATTATTTTTTGAAAACTTCATACAAAATATTTTAGTCATATTAACACACCTCTCCTCTCCATTTCTCCTTCTAGATCCACTAAACACCCTGCCCCCCAAACAGCACCTTCACCTATAGTCCCCAGGAAGCAAAGGAAGAAAAGGAACTGAAGACTAGGTATAACTTTCAAATACATTAGCCAATGGCCTCCTGTTTCTAATCAAGCCCATGTTCTAAACTTTCCACCAACTTCTAAAATAGTGCTGCCAGCTCAAGACTGATTGTTAACACAGGAGACAGTGAAGCACATTCAAATAGTACCACATTAATTCTATGTATAATTGTTAAAATTCCTAAGGTATGGTGAGTTGGTTAATCAGAAAAAGGCACCAAATCTAATAACCTGAGTATGATCTCTGTGACCCACATGGTAGAAAGAGAAGTGACTCTCACAAGTTGTCATTTAACCTCTACGGGTGCACCCTGTTGCATGCATGTGCAAATGCACACACACACACACACACACACACACACACACACACACACACATACACACACACACACACCACAAGCACCAACCCATGCACAAATAAATACAATGTAATTTAAATCCTATAAAATACCTACTAAAGTGTACATTCCTCGAATCTAAGCTACTACATGTCACTAACACATGGTTAATATTACAGTCTTCATTTTATATCAGAGTACATAATTCCAGAAAAAATATGAAACTTTGAGCAGAAGTCTTTATCCAGGTGGAAGCACTTGGTGCTCCAATAACTGCAAGCTAATAGCCAACCCAGTACATGTGTACCTAGTAAGTGATTTCAAGCAACAAAAATCGAAAAAGTGTAACAGTTTGCCTTTTCTCATTTACAGTAAAATTAAATGTTTGGGTTGGGGCTCCAAAACAGCATTTGCCTAACATGCACCAGGCTCTGAGTTTAGTACTAAGTGCTAAGAATTGTTTCAATAAAATTAAATAAAATAATCATACTGTAAAATGTAAGTCCAGAGTTGTAGGCAATCGGTTTCCAGAAAAAATTATGTCACCTACTGAGTTATTTTCAAGCCTGTTTTTCATTACCATCAACTCTGCTTTTAGTATTAATATTCATATTCTCTTTGCTTTTTATCTGCCTGTTTTACTTGTTGCTGTATCAACAAAAGGCCTGTTACAATGTTGACACATAGTAGGAGTTCATTCAATATTTGCTTAATTTTGCTGTATCAGGGCCTTTTCCCTTTATACATGTTTTAAACATTTGATTGCTGCTTAGACCAAAAGAACTACATAAGGAGAATAACATCAATGTGAAAACATACTTTCAAAGTCATTGCATAAACAATGCTAAAATTAGATATGGCTCTGTGGAAAAATGCCATTTCTCTTCCTCCTGTGGAAAAATCAGGGCTCTGAACTCACAAGATTTTGACAGGCTCAACATGGATCAGAATAATTAGGAGAGGAGGACAGGGTGGGGAAGGAGAAGAAAGAGGGGGGGCGGAAAGTAGAGGAGAAAACAAGAGGGGGAGGAGGAAGAACGGACACCAAGACAACAAAACATAGACTAAGAGGATCAAATATCACTCTATCATTAATTACCAAGACAATAGTGAGTAAGAACAGCAAAAATATTTTAAATATTTTTCCAAACAATAGAAAGCTAAATTTATGTGAGTTTGTTACCAACAGATACTATTTGAATACTTGTCTTGAAATATAGAGGCAGTGAAACTCGGTTATGAGTCTCAGCTTTGGAGTCTAGGAGATCAGTGTGAATATTCCAATCTGTATGTTAATAAACGTGAGACATGAGGGTTTGTTATGTCATTAGAGGCAATATCAATAAATAGCAGCTACTAGTAAGTATAGCCTTACCTGTTTTTAAATTTATGATGCTTATGATCAACTTAGCCTTTAAATGGAATTTTTATGCCTAAAACAAATGTTCACACCATAGATATAGTGAACCTACCAGGAAAACCCTACTAGCATATTTTAAAACCAAATGTAACTTGGTGAAAGCTGTAATCTTTATAAAATTGAGCCTTTCTATCTAGGGATACAGCATATCTTTCCATTTATGTAGTTTGTCTTCTGTATTTCAAAACTACTAGAGCCACTGTTTTCCTTAAGGAAAACAATTTGTCCTATATCTACTAGAGTAAAAATGACTTAATTTTAATCTCCCTGAAAAAAATTCTATACTCAAACATAATAATCTACAGTGTTCTCTATAGTAGCCCCAAAGAAATAACTTAAATAACCATCAATAGAGAAATAGTTTTTTTTTAAAAAAATCCACCATCCATACTTCTGAATATATAGACTAATTCAATATAATCAGTGCAGATCTACCTATTTGTTTTGACATGAAACAACAACCAGGACATATCATAAGCAAACAAATCACACAAAGGCATATACATGATATGTTAAATACACAAAACAACAGCACATAGTTCCATAATTGCATGTGTATATAAATGTACCAAAAATATATGTGCAAAGAAACATGTTAAATTAGTTCACTTTTCATCACTCTAATGAAATACTTGAGACTAGATAGTTTATAAAGACATTTAACTGCCGTATAATTTGGCAGCACTGCAACAACCATATAAAGAAGTGAGAAGTAGCCACAGGAAATGGTAGTTGAATTCCAGAATAAACCATAAATAAATAGCTTTGTTGTATATAGGCAGTTTTATTGAGAGACAAAGTATGGTACAGCAATTGTTTATGAAGTCGAGAGTTTCCATCTTGCCTCTGCCACTTACCAGCTTTATAATTCTGACCACTGGAGATAGAGAGATGGCATGGTAGTTCAAATCACTTGCTAGTCTTGCAGAGGATCTGAGTTCTGTTTCCAGGACCCACATGGTGTTCACAACTGCCTATAACTCCAGTTCCAAGAAACACATACCCAATTTAAAAAGAAAAATGTTGGATTCTGAACATACCTGATACTTCATTGTTCTTTGTTTCCTGACGTTTATACCATCAATATCTTGTAAAAATTTAAGAACTTAAGTGAATTGATGGTCATTAAAAGCTCAAAGCTGTTCATGGTAGAAAGTAATTGCACTTCATGTTTATTATTATCAATATATTTTTGTGTTCAATTAAACAAATATTGATAAACTAGCCAAAATTTTCAGGTAGTTCAGTAGCCATTGGTGACATAAAGGTGACTATGAGTCAGTAGCTACCATTGTCAAAGTCCCCTCAGTGTGTGAGAAGTAAGCACATGTATCCATGTGGTAAGCACAATGGGGAAAAGACTGTGAAAGAAACAGCAGCAGATGTTGTGAGCACTCAGAGGAGGAAAACTCAGGCCATCGATAGGGAGAGAAGTAAGGATGGAGAATGGACATATTTGATATGGAAAATTCTAGTAACATCTTGGGCTCCATTCCATTTTCTCAAAAAGGGAAAGTCCTAACTCCTAGGCAAACATCAAAGTTGATGTTTCCGAAACTCGTTTTGACTACAACTCACACTTGGCAACCAAGTGTTACCATCATAAGACATGACAAAGTGGTTCCATGAGACAGAATGGGAAAAAACTACAAACCTAGGGTGCCAATCTTTTCCTAACATAGTTTCCACATTCAATGAATATTTAATGGTAAGCTTCCAACAGTTTCACAACAAACGTCTGAACCACTGGCCAAGCATATGAAGTCAAGGTAAACATGAGTTAGCACTACATGTCAGTTTTTTAAATAAGGATGTGATAGTAGCTTGTGTAAGTGGGAGCGTGTTAAAGAACTAGAACAAAATATTCCAATCATTGGTCAATATCTTGCAACATTCAAATGAATTTTTAAAGACAGAGACATAAAAAATACTATGTGCATCTTTTGAGTATATGCCTAAAGAGTGGAATTGCTGAATCCTGTGGTAGACTGATTCCCATTTTCCTGAGAAACTGCCATACTGATTTCCAAAGTGGCTGCAAGATTTGGCACTTCCATCAGCAGTGGAAGAGTGTTCCCCTTTCTCCACATCCTCTCCAGCATAAGCTATCATTGGTGCTTTTGATTTTAGTCATTCTGACAGGAGTAAGATGGTGCCTAGCTTCTTGAGTTCTTTGAATATTTTGGAGATCAGCCCTCTGTTGGATGTGGGGTTGGTGAATATCTTTTCCCATTCTGTGAGCTGCCATTTTGTTTTGTTTACTGTGTCCTTTGCCTTACAGAAGCATCTCAGTTTCAGGAGGTCCCATCTATTAATTGTTGATCCCAGTGTCTGTGCTACTGGTGTAATGTTCAGGAAGTGGTCTCCTCTAACAATTCGTTTGAGGGTACCAACTACTTCTTTTCTAAGAGGTTCAGTGTGGCTGGATTTATGTTGGGGGTCTTTTATCCATTTGGACTTAAGCTTTGTGCATGGTGATAGATTCTGATCTATCTTCAGTCTTCTACCTGCCAGCACTCAGTTACACAAGCACCATTTGTTGAAGATGCTTTCTTTTTTCCATTGTATAATTTTAGCTTCTTTGTCAAAAATCAGATGTTCGTATGTGTGTGGGTTATATATCAACCTGAACAAGTGGTAATTTATAGAGTCTTAGCAAGGATTACATTTCCTCTATGGAAAAACTTGGAATAGATTGTCATTACCTACAAGATAAATCTGTTTTTTCTTACTATTCCAATGGAAATCCTGTGGTTCATACGGAATGACTCAAGCAATATGCCTTCAGTTGCCCATTTTTGATAATGTTCTAGACAAATTCTTACCATGAGTAGCCACATTAACCGTATTTCTATCATGAAACTTGTAGCTTTAGTCAACCAATGCCCGCTCCCTCCAAATACTCTCACCACTCAACTCATAACCTTGGCACTCTCTACATCCACTGCAAGAAGCTTGTCTTAATGGAGAACATTGCAAACAAATAACAGGACAGAAACACATAATCACCTTGTACTTTTAAAATTGCTTTCAGAGAGCCAGTTGGGCGTGTCGACTGTCCAGAGCTTGTGGCCGGGCGCCCCGAGGAGACAAGTAACTATGGCCTACTACAGATTCCTGGCAGAGCCCATCAGCTGCCATGCCTGGAACAAGGACCGAACACAGATCGCCATCTGCCCCAACAACCATGAGGTGCACATCTATGAGAAGAGCGGTGCCAAGTGGAACAAGGTCCACGAGCTTAAGGAGCACAACGGGCAGGTGACAGGCATCGACTGGGCCCCTGAGAGTAACAGCATTGTGACCTGTAGCACAGACTGCAATGCCTTTGTGTGGACCCTGAAGGGCCGCACCTGGAAGCCCACTCTGGTCATCCTGCGGATCAAACGAGCTGCGCGTTATGTGCGCTGGGCCCCCAATGAGAAGAAGTTCGCTGTGGCCAGTGGCCCCCATGTCATCTCCATCTGTTATTTTGACCAGGTGAATGATTGGTGGGCGTGCAAACACATTAAAAAGCACATCGGCTCCTCTGTCCTCAGCCTTGACTGGCACCCCAACAACGTGCTCCTAGCTGCAGGCTCCTGTGACTTCAAGTGCATGATCTTCTCTGCCTATATCAAGGAGGTGGAAGAGCGGCCAGCGCCTACACCGTGGGGCTCTAAGATGCCTTTTGGAGAGCTGATGTTCGAGTCCAGCAGTTCTGGCTGGGTGCATGATGTCTGCTTCTCGGCCAGCGGCAGCCGTGTGGCTTGGGTAAGCCACGACAGCACCGTGTGCCTGGCAGATGCTGACAAGAAGATGGCCGTTGCAACCCTGGCCTCTGAAACCTTGCCGTTCCTGGCCATCACCTTCATCACAGAAAATAGTCTAGTGGCAGCGGGCCACAACTGCTTCCCGGTGCTATTTACCTATGACAGTGCTGCAGGGACATTGAGCTTTGGTGGTCGGCTGGATGTGCCCAAGCAGAGCTCCCACTCCCAGCGTGGCATGACAGCTCGAGAACACTTCCAGTACCTCGACAAAAAAGCCAGCTCTGAGGGTGGTGCATCCACGGATGCTGGCCTGGATTCGCTGCATCAGAACAGCATCAATCAAATCTCGGTGCTCAGCGGGGGCAAGGCCAAGTGCACGCAGTTCTGCACTACAGGCATGGACGGCGGCATGAGCATCTGGGATTTGAAGAGCTTGGAGTCATCCTTGAAGAACCTGAAGATCAAATGAGCTGTGGAATACCACACTCATCCCAGCTGCTGGGAAAGGGGGAAAAGGACTGGGGAGGGGAAGGGTTGCTCTGCTGAATGCTTCTAGGGTGCCAGTATGGGGCTGCTCCCCAAGAAGGGAGGAAACGGTTGGGAACTTTCCTACCTGTTTAAGGAACAGGTGCCTTTTAAAGAAATGCCTTCACTTATTGCTTTAAAATAAAAGAAGAAAAAAAAAAGCCCCTAAGCACAAAGTTGGTCATGAATATGGATAATAAACACACCAACTGCAGAAAAAAATTAATAAAATAAAATTGCTTTCAGACTGTCTGTACTTGACTTAATTCAATTAGTGTACTTACCTAAGAGAAGCAAGTGTTAATCATAAAAAGGGTTAACAAATTTCAAAAACTAGAGTTGGCTTCATCCAAACAGTCCATCATGGAGAGAGGAAGGCTTGTGCTCCTAGTTAAGTATTTGTATTCCTTAAGGAAAAGCATCCTCCCCATGAAATGCATTCAGGAGCTTCTAGCCAATAAAATTTGCATACTTCAGATGCCCCTTGCTGTAAGGGACAGTAAGCCATGCCTGTTAGAGGCTGGCTACAGGTGTGCCTGACCATGCTTGTCAAGGAAAGGCTTCCCATGTGCTCACCGTTCCTTAAGAACCTATCCTGAGGCTGGGCGTTGGTGGCACACACCTATAATACCAGCACTCCGGAGGCAGAGGCAGGTGAATCTCTGTGAGTTCAAGGCCAGCCTGGTCTCCAGAGCGAGTGCCAAGATAGGCTCCAAAGCTACACAGAGAAACCCTGTCTCAAAAAACGAAAAAGAAGAACCTATCACGCGTCATTCTGACCTCACCTTGACCACCCCTTGACAGGCGTGGTCAGGCATACCTGTAGCCAGCCTCTAACAGGCGTGGCTTACTGTCCCCTACACTGAGCCAGCTCTTCCTAGCCACTAAAGACACTCTGGAGGAAGGAGCCCTGCAGTGTACATTTTAATCAACATGTATTGCAGCATAATTTCCACACTATAACAAATCGTTCCTTTCAGCATATAGTTTCATGAGTTCTAACAAATATAACTGGATTTGTAACCACAATCATATTTAATATATGGAATAGATATGACTTAACTTCTTATATGCATTTGTCAACCAATAAAACATAAATACTGGTAATATTTTTCACGAAAAATGCTATCCTGTTAGCTTAAATAGAATGAGTTCATACTTCCTGATAAATTCCTAAAAAGAGCTTAGTTTATTCTCTCGGGTCTATACCATATCAGGATAATGCATGTGATCAGATTTATAAAAAATTTTGTCAAAATGAGAAGGAATGCTTGAAGCATAGTCTGTGGGTCTCCTCAACTATAATTTGAGTCCAAATGCTATATGAACATAGAGCCTCCAGTAGAAGAGAAGTTGGCTTGGTTAGTCATTTTCAAGACAAGTGCTAATCAAAATCATGACACATAGACTGGTGTCTATATGGTGACTATTTGATGTGGGCCTCTAAGGAAAACAAGTGCTGAGAGAAAACAATTACAAATTTTTTTCTCTCTCTCTACTCTTCTCTCTCTGCTCTGCTCTCTCTGATCTTCTCTTCTCTCTCTTCTCTTATGCTCTCTGCCTCTATGGCAACCAGCCATGGCGGTCAACCATTAACCCTGTTCCTCTTCTCTTTTAGTCTCCCTACTCTGCCGGGCCTATAATAAACTGGTTAATATGTCTCTTAATAAAAAATTTATTATCATTTTCTCTTGATTATATCTAATGCAAAAATTGGATTACTTGTTTTGTACATCTTTGTTTCATTTCTCTAGTAATTTATTTTTATTGTATTTAGGAAGAATTTTATTCTCTGATAGATTGGGTTAGGGAAAACTTGCTCTTTCACACAGACTACAAAACACTATTCTAATGTATTCCTATACCATCCACTGCTTATACTCACTAATATTGGCCACTCAGTGATCTCTTAATTACTTACACCATTGAATCAAGGGCTTGTGAGCTTCTTCTGTAAAACATCAGATACTAAGTATTTTAGGATCTGTAGGCCTGATATACAAATAAACTCTGTCATTGTATGGCAAAAGTTGCTTTAGACAACATACAAATAAACCAACTTGTTTGCATTTCAATAAGATTTTGTCATCACTAGACACAAGTTAGATTTACTTCATGGCCTATAGCTCACTCTGCCTTATATTATTTGGTTTTGTCAATTACATTGGAGACTTTTTAAGAACAGACCAAAGGGCTTATTTTTGTTATTGTTATTGTTCATTCTAAGCAGTGACATCAAATTTTAACAGACATTTTTGAAATAAATGAAAAACTGTCTAACTATTAAACTGGAACAAGAGATGAATATTCCAGATAGTGGAGACAATGAAGCGAAGGTATAGGAACATAAATATATGTATTTTAGTCCATTTGTGCTACTATAACAAAATATCATAATCTGAATGACTTATTGTTTTTTTACATACCAACCATAGTTTCCCCTTCCTCTTCTCCTTCAAGTACCTCCCCTCCCCCTCTCTGTCCCCCCATCCATTTCTCTTTAGAAAAGGACACACCTCCCATAGATATTAACAAAACATGGCATATCAAGTTGCAATATGACTAGGCACCTTCTCTCCTATTAAGACTGGACGAGGCAACCCAGTATGTAGAACAGGGTCCCAAAAGCAGGTAACAGAGTCAGAGCTAGCCCCTGCTTCCCCTTTTAGGAGTCTCACAAGAAGATCAAGCTATACAATTGAAACATATATGCAGAGGGCCTAGGTCAATCTCATGCAGGTTCCCTGGTTGTTGGTTCAGTCTCTGAGCACCTGTGAGTCCAGGTTAGTTGATTCTGTGGGTTATCTTGTGCTGTCCTTGATTGCTCTGGCTCCTACAATCAATCCTTCCTGCCTCTCTTCAGTGGAATTCCCTGAGGTCCACCTAATATGTGGCTGTGGGTCTCTGAATCTGTTTCCATCAGTTGCTGGATGAAACCTTTCTGATGATAGTTGAGGTAGGCACGAATCAATAAGTGTAGCAGAATATCATTAGGGATCATTTCAGTGACTTTCTTTTGCCAGTTGTATTTAGATCTAATCTAGATCTCTGGGCTATGTACCCACTGTGTACTGGCCCTCCAGACAGTGTCAAGCATGGGCTCCCTCTAGAGGTATGAGGCTCAAGCTCAATCAGTCATTGGTTGACCACTCCCACAATTTCTGTGCCACTTTTGTTCCAGCACATCTTGTAGTCAAGACAAATCACAGGACAAAGGTTATATGGCTGTGTTGGCGTCCCAATCTCTCCACTGGAAGTCTTACCTGGTTACAGGAAATGGCCAGCTCAGGCTTCATACCCCCCATTGCAAGGAGTCAGCTACAGTTACTCTTGTAGATTCCTGGGAGTTTTCATTGCAGTTGCATAACTTGTCTCCGTGATGTCCAACCCCAATTCAATTTGTCTCTCCCACTATTTGCTCCCTCCATTCTCCTCTCACATGATCCCCTCTGTTCCTGTCCCCTCCCAAACCATTCCCTCCACCCATTATGTCTATTCTATTTCTGCTTCATACATCCCCCCTTACCTGAATGGCTTGTAGACAATAGAAGATTTTTCTCACAGTTATGGGTACTGCAAGGTGTAAGATCAAGATATTAGTCAAACACTCAGAAAGGCAAATATCATATTATTTTCTCTCAATAAAATTTAAATTTTAAATTGTACATGCATCTCTCTCTCTTTCTCTCTCTCTCTGTGTGTGTGTGTGTGTGTGTGTGTGTGTGTGTGTGTGTGTGTGTGTGTGTGTGTGTGTGTGTGTGTGTGTATGTGTGTGTGTGTGTGTATTTATATGGGAAGAAGTCACAAAACTAAAAGGGAGATTGTGAAAGGGAGGAAGAGGTCTTAAGAGAGGTAAAATATAGGATAAAGGATCTCTATCATGTCCCTCTCCTGGAGCTCCGGGAAACACACAGAAGATGGGGAGGAAGAATTGTAGGATTCAGAGGGGTGGAAGATAGCAGGAAAACACAGCCCACAGAATCAACTAAGCAAAGCTCATAGGAGCTCACAGAGACTGAAGCGGCAACCATAGAGCCTGCATAGGTCTGTGCTAGGTGCTCTGCATATATGTTATAGTTGTTAACTTTGTGTTTTTTGGTGGACTTCTCACAGTGGAAGTAGGGGTGTCTTTGACTCTTTTGCCTGCTCTTGGTGCCCTTTTCCTCCTACTGGAATGCCTTGTCCAGACTTGATACGAAGGTTTGTGCTCAGCCTCATTGCATCTTGTTATGCTATGTTCTGTTGATATCCTTGGAAGGCCTGTTCTTTTCTGACAGGGACATGAAGGAGCAGTGGATCTGGAGAGTGGAAGTGGGGGATGGAACTAGGAGGGGTGCAGGAGGAGAAACAGTGCTCAGGGTGTATTTTATAAGAGAGAAGAATAAAAAGTAGTAATTTAAAAATTAAAAATAAAATGAAGTAGTTAATAAAAGGGAGTATTTTAAAGAGGAAAATAAAATGAGCTGGTAAGAATGAATGAAAATGAATGGCAATGACATGTCATGAAGAAACTCATTACTTTGCATCCTAACTTTTAAAAAGTATTAAAAAGAAAATGACGAGAAATCTGGCTCTAGGGAAATCTCCAGGGATCCACAAGGATGACCCCAACTAAGAATCTAAGCAATAGTGGAGAGGCTACCTTAAATGCCCTTCCCCGATAATGAGATTGATGACTACCTAGAGCCTTCATCCAGTAGCTGATGGAAACAGAAGCAGACAGCCACAGCTAAACACTGAGCCGAACTCCTGGAATCCAGTTGCAGAAAGGGAAGTGTGATGAGAAACGGGGTCAAGGCTATGCTGGGGAAACCCACAGGAACAGCTGACCTAAGCAAGAGGGAGCTCATGGACCCCAGTCTGATAGCTGCAGAACCAGCATAGGATTGAACCAAGCCTCCTGAACGTAGGTCTCAGTTGGGGGGCCTCTGGTAGTGGAACCAG